ACCTGGTGCCTGCTAAGGTCAACCCACCACAGCAGCTTTAAAGACAAGGTAACTGTTGGAGCTGCATTTTTAAGAACAAGTTTTCTTAGCACACCAAAAACTTTTGGATGTAAGAAGTGCAACGTTCCTTTAATCACGACTTGACAAAAAAGTCAAAATGTTTGGTATGTACAAAATGTTTAAAAAATTGAAACCCTGGGAAGGAAGAAATATGAATGTGTGAGCCAAAACATTTCAGTTTGAAAATCAGAAAGGATTTACTATCAATCTGGTTTGCATGACAATATGAATTAATCAGAGACTCAAAATGAAAAGGTTTCAAAAATGGGGGGGTGGGAAAGCCCCCAAAACGTATTGCAGTTTCCATCATTCATTTTTCACAGGCTGACTGAAGGTATCAGTCAAAGCATGTTTTTGCCTTCAGAAGTGTAGGTCCTGATAAATCGATACTCTCCATGAGAGAAAAAATTATGGTAAAAATGAATAACCAACCAACAGTGGTAAATATCAGCCTTTCATTGTACATCTTGGGAACTGAAGCACAGAACAAGAAATAATTACAAAGGCTGATTAACAGAATTAAATCTTTACTAGGAGATGTTATTATTTTGAAACAGTGACACTGAGCCAAATTAAGGGAACATTCAGTTATTTTCTTCTGGCTCCAAAAGGAAGACTTTAATTCAATACCTTAGGCATTCAAATTTGATGGCTAGGACTTGGGAGAGGAAGCACTGCACTGTCCAACAGAGGACAAGTTTCATCAGGTGGATATGCAGAAGAGCCTCTTTCTCTACCTTACTACCATCACCAAAGAAAAAATACTCGTAGGAGGCTAGTTTCATTGCTGGAATCTGTGCAGCTTTGTTCTGCAGATTTTATCTTAAGGTGGTTCAACATGATTAGCGACTTTGCACAACTGCCCACTACTGCTGTTTTCTATTGTCTTTTTTCTCAGTACACCATTGATACCTTTTAGCAACACTTCCTTTGTACTTCAATAATATCAAAACATCAGAGAATACAGTGGGAAGGAGAAACGTGAAAGTACCATGTTTGTGCTTTATGTCTCTAGCTGTCAGTATTACACTGTGCTGCCTAACTACCTCATCAGTCTCTGTGCTGGATACCTTAACTGCCCACACAACTTCTGTCCTTTCTTGCCCATAACTGAACATACAAAGAAAAGAATCAAGTCTTCAGCACTGAGCAACTGAGAAACATGTTTTGAGTATCAGTACTATCATCCTGAACCAAATCATTATGTGCTAGATCAGTCTCAGCAATGTCTATTTCAAATATATCATTGATATGACATGTGAGGTTTTCTTCTCCAGCATGATTTTCCTCCTAGATATCACCAGGTGATTTGACAAACAAGCAAACTAAAATTAAACAAACTCCCTTTCTGTCTGTAAGAGAAAAAAAAAAAAATATAGGGAGGTCACTATGCATGCAAGTCCCATTCAGAAGCTGCCTTGCAAGAGGAAGGTCAAACTTGTACTGTTTCAGAGACCTGCCCTAGCCAACTCAGTGGTAGCACTGTGTAACTTTGTCTTCACAGTGATGTGGGCTCAGGTCTCCTACTTTCCCTGGGGTCCAGCAATGAAGAACTGGTGCTTTCACTCAAGTGACCCAGACTGCACACGTGGTGTGGACCGCCTTGGAAGAAGAGCAGAAGGAAGACTGCTTTCAGGAGCACACTCACTCCCCAAGGCAACATGCACAGACGTAGGCTGTGTGCTACAAAGCAGGCAGACTTCTCACTACTCTCTTATCTGTGAATTGCAAAATGTCCTTGGGAAATGGATATTACTTGCCAAGAAAATTGTAAATGCAGCCTTTTAAAGAGTCAGGTTGGGTACTCCAGGTTCAGATTATTAAGAAATTGTAGGAACCACCAGCCCGGAGGAATTATGTCTAATGTTCTGTCAGCTGCATTCAAGAGTGATATGTTCCAACAGGACCAAGTTCAGAGAAAGTCTACTAGGGATACTCAAAGCTGTTACAGAAAGAGAGCCTTGGAAAAATCTTTTAGTTTAGCTAAATGAAGATTAGGTAGGGTTTGGATCATACTCAAGAGGGCTAAGCATTAAGGAGGGAAAGAACTACGTAAGTTAACTGTCAATGTTGACATGAGAAGAAATGGTGCACATTTAAGCTAGAAAATAGAAGAAAGGTTCTAGTAATCTAAGTGATATCTTAAATAGCTTTCTCAAGGTGTATAGGGACCACAAGCTAATGTAGTTTTAAAATGGAATTTATGAGATTATGAAAAAAAAAACCTTTGTGAGGTGGTTACTTACTTTATGGTTACTTACTTTATAGTTACTTACTTCCAGGAGCTGCCAGATCTGATCACTTCAAAAGTCACACACATTTCTACCTACCAAGTGAAAAAAAAAGAATGAATATGCTGTGTCTCACAAACTTCATCAATTTCCAGACTTTGCTCTGGCAGTTGTGGTGGGACATGTTGGATTCTTGTCCTACAGCTGGTAGCAAAAATGTAAATGTTTTCACAGGAAAAAAAAAAAAAGCTGGTATTAATTCAGCAAGCAAATTTTAACATGTGAACATTATTCCTGTTGAATCATTTCTGCAGCTGGTTGAGGTCTCTCTGGATGTCAACAGATCCCTCTGGCATATCAGCCGCTCCTCCCAGTTTGGTGTTACATGAAAACTTGCTGAAAGTAGTCCCTGCTCCATCATATATATCGGTAATGAAGATGTTGAGCAGGACTGGACCCAGTATTGATCCCTGGCATACACTGATAGTCACTGGCCTCCAACTAGACTTTGCACCACTGCTTACCATCCTCTGGGCCCATCCATTCAGTCAGTTTTAAATCAACTTCCCTGTCTGCTCATCCAGCCCATACATCAGCAGCTTCTTTATGGGAATCCTATGGGAAACAGTGTCAAAGGCACTCCTGAAGTCCAGGTAGATAATATCCACTGCTCTCCTCCCATCTGCCATGTCAGTCACTTCATCAAAGAAGTTTGTCAGTTGGCCAAGCATGACTTCCCCTTGGCAATGCCATGCTGATGACTCTCAATGATTTTCTTGTCCTTAATGTGCCTGGGAATGGTAGGAAGACTATAGCAGGTTATTACTGATGAGAGGCTTGGGTAAAGAGTCAGTTTGAAGAGTTCTTAGAGCTTGACTAAAGCAACTATACTGGAAATACTCATGCAAGTTTGTGGTATTCACTATTGTTAAACTAGTTAAAGGTCTATGTAGGCTATACATTTATTTAGGAAGACAACAAGAGAATTGCTCAATTCCTTGCTTGCTTTATTTGCATTTTCAGATTATTCACAAGTCTGGAACTGAGAGGATACAATACAATCATCTTGAATCGTAGTTTGGAGCCTAAATCATAATCAACTGAGGCCAATATGGTATCAAATGAATTCTCCTAGCAGGTCTTCATTGCCCTCCTAAAAGAAATGATAAAATACAGGTCCTTTTTCTTTTTCATACTGTATAATATGTACCTCTATGATTTGATTACATTTCTATGTATATATACTGAAGTTATATATATATATCTGTTCTGTATTCTATCATTTAAAATAAACTTCTTCATACTTCTCATATCTTTTTATATGACTTTATTGACTATGAAGGTAATCTTGTGAATCAGACAAAACTAGTTCTTTCAAGCTCATTTTGGTGCAGATAACCAGGAAATAGGCATCTCCTGTCACTTGGTAAAAACTGACTGTTCTTAAACTGTCACTAAGGGATGACATACGATTTCAGTTATTACTGCGAGTTGTTTAAAGGTAATGCTCTACAGCAGTGTTTGCTATAAGGAAAAGAGCTTGCATGTGAAAGACAGGTACTTTGTGTTCCTGGCAGTACAGCATTTTGTTGTTTCCTGATTTCTCTTTAGGTCTACTGTGAGGTAACCTTTTCAGACAAAAGGCGTTTATGACCATGTCTAATGAGGTGAAGAATTAAAAGATTATGTATGGAATAAGGCTGATATTTTGGATACATTATATAACAAATATCTTTATCTGAGCAAATGGAATCCAAATTTTTTTTCCTAATAATCTTTATTAGGAGTAGCACGTTGCACTCGTAGCACATTCAAAACTAGGGCTGTAACCTGCACCTACAGTTTATGAACTGCTGCACCCTGTAGCATTTGCAAAAAATACAGTTGGGAGTGAAGCTGATTTTACTATACTGTAAATATATGAACAACCTTAATAAATTGAAAGAATAGCACTACAGTGTAAACTAGACTGTTCCTCCGGATTCTAGCATCATAGAGAAATAGTAACCAATGTGATTAATTTTTGCTACTTGGAAGATAGCAACTTTAAATTTTACCAAAATACCAATATGTTTTTCATAATCATTTATCTACATTCCCCATATCTAAAGAATAATCAGGATTTGTTCACTGGAATTTCATGCTAGTACATAGATATATACTTGTGCTAAGGAAAGTAATAAGACTATAGCACAGAACATGCAGAATGAAAATTCATGTGGAAAATTAACCAAGAAATCCAGACTACCTTGACTTGCTGTTAACTTTGGTAGAATTTATACTGGGATCCTACACATTACTAAACCAAAGACATCATGGCTAGTGCTCTCCCTTGTAAACTGTACCTCTGTCAAGCCCTTAATGAAATAAAGTGAGTTACTTTTAATATTCCTCATTTTCCACAGCGTTACAGAAAGAGGCATCATTTTCTCCCCACCCCACTGGAAAAGAGAGACTGGACAAAATCTCTGCACAGAGCAGCAGTTTGTACACTACGCTGATGAACACAAAGCATGGGCTGGTGCATGGGATCAGAGGGTGTTTGCAAGGAAAGCCCTGCAGTGACGTTAAACGGATTTTGTGACTAATTTTTCCGTTCCTCTATATCGGGGTTTCTGTGCCCAGGCGCTGGCCATGGTGCTGCAGGGCGGGCTCTATGAGGAGGGGACGGGGCAGCCCCTGCCGGCTCCTGCGACACCAGCGCAGGACTCAGCTGAGCCCCTCAGCCAAGAGAAGGCGCCGACGGGGAAAACAGGTTCCAGGCGGGGCCAAAGGCGGCGCAGGCAGAGGAGGAGGAAGCCAAGGAGGGAGCCGCAGCAGCGGGACCCCGAGGGAGGGTGGAGGAGGAGGAGGGCAGGAGGTGCTGCAGGCCCGGAGCAGGGATCCCCTCAGCCCTGCAGAGACCCCGCGGGAGCAGAGACCCCCCTGCAGCCCGGGGAGGGCCCCACGCCGCAGCAGGGGGGGATTTCCTGCAGGAGCTGCGGCCCTGCAGAGCCCCGGCGGGAGCGGGGGGGGCCCTGAAGGGTGCGGGCGGGGAAGGGCCCGCGCTGGAGCAGGGGTGAGGAGGGAGCTGCGGGCGAGAGGGGGTGTGCTGGGCTGAGCGCGACCCCATCCGCACCCCTGCGCCTCGGGGAGAGGGATCATGAGCGGAGCGGTGAAAATGGGGATGGGAAGAAGGAACTGAGGGGAAAGTGTTTTTTTACTCGTTTCTTTGTTTCTCACCATCCAACTCAAATTTAATTGACAGAAAAATGCATTAATTTCTCCAACTACAGTCTATTTTGCCTGTGATAGTAACTGGTAAGTGCTCTCTCTGCCTTTTTCTCAACCCATGAACTTTCCCATCATATTTTCTCCCGTCTTCTTGAGGAGGAAGAGTGAGAGAGCGTCTGAGTTTAGCATATAATGTTAGTTTCAGACTGAAAGAAGAAACTAGCCAAAATAAAAAGTACTTGGGATAAATGGCTTTAATTTGTGTGTGTGTTTATTTGACTTTGAAACCGTTGAATTTCCCATGGAGCAACCTGAGAGTCTATTCAAGAAAAGGTGCAGTAAGTGCTTCAAAGCGCATTGTGTGTGCTTTGTATTGTAACTGTGCCCAGCAAATTTGGAATCTATTTTATAGGTTATATCATATCAAGGAGCCTATCCAGTATATTTCACCTTCCGGATCAAGAGACAATGGAAAGTCAAAGAGGAGAATTCTGGGTAGAGGACTAAGTTGCTGACAAAGGGTAAAGTTTAAATAAAACATGTTCAGTGAAGTTGAATCAATACTTTATTTGTTAAGGAGAAGTAAAAGTACAAAAAAGCTTGTACAACTAGGCATAAAAAAGTGAGAAATCAATTGTAGTTAATTCAAAATGCTTGAAGAGTCACCTATGCCATTATGTATGAATAATTCAGGAACAGAAATTTATTGCAGACACATATTGTTTGGTTTGGATTTAGTTTTGCCCCTTGTTTGACCTGAATCCTGTAAAGAATGATATTCAACTAATTGAAATAACATTTTGCAAGCAAGACAATACCTTAGGGAGATTTCAAGAGCAATCCTGAAATAAAATCTGAAAGATTAAATACTTGATAAAGTTTGTATAAATAAAGTTATTTTAAAGTGTGTAAAATGTTGTACATGAGTTTCTTCTCATGCAAGTTGTGTTTGCCTGTGGAAAAGAGAACAGATTTCCCCCCCCCCCCCCTTTCTAAATCTCTTTTTATTTCTCCCTATAATGCTGCCTCTCTTTCTCTCAGCAAGTGTTGATCATGTTTGGAAATATTTATTGCCCTCCGGTTTTTACTCACAAGACAATTTCTTTGCAAGTCATTATTGAGAATAACAGAAATGAGTCACAGTAGTACAAGATGTTTTCAGATGGAGTCAACACAAACTTATTATTCATATCCTGAGATGCTGCACAGATATTTGAAACCAAAAAATACATAGGCTGACTATGCATGTGTTACAGTGACTACCTGTGTTCCAGTCCCTGCAGCTATCCCTTAAAAAACAAGCAACATAGGATCCCAATATACTTTATTACTGGTTTTGGTCTGTATTATACTGGAATTTGTTTGTTCTGGTGTAGGTTTATGTGAGCATCTCAACATTTTGAAACTTCAAATGGATGCAAGAAGCAAACCAACAGCCTCAGTGACAAAAAGGCATTACTGGTTCAGAGTTACATTCAAGTCCAACATCAGTTCTGGGATTAGAAACCAGCCAAAGGAAATAATTTTGCAGCTTTCGCACTAAACTAAATAGCTGCCCTTAAACAGGAAATTAAAATCATTTGCACACAGAAGGAATTTATTCATTGACTAGAAAATATTAAATACACTGAATTTATTCAGATGCAGGTTTTTAAGAAATGCCTGCTGCCACTCATATAAGACTTAGGGCAACAAAGATGATTAAGGGAGTGGAGCATCTCCCTTATGAGGAAAGACTGAGGGAGCTGGGTCTCTATAGTTTGGAGAAGAGGAGACTGAGGGGTGACCTTATTAGTGTCTATAAATATATAAAGGGGGAGTGTCACGAGGATGGAGCCAGGCTCTACTCAGTGGCAAACAATGATAGGAGAAGGGGTAATGGGTACAAACTGGAACACAAGAGGCTCCACTTAAAATTGAGAAGAAACTTCTTCTCAGTGAGGGTGACGGAACACTGGAACAGGCTGCCCAGGGAGGTTGTGGAGTCTCCTTCCCTGGAGACATTCAAAACCCGCCTGGACACATTCCTGTGTAACATTATCTAGGTGTTCCTGCTCCGGCAGGGGGATTGGACTAGATGATCTTTTGAGGTCCCTTCCAATCTCTAGCATACTGTGGTACTGTGATACTGTGTGAAGACTTAGTGCCACCCAACATCAGTGTCTCCATTGACAGCAGCCAGCTTTAGATACAGCTTGTGGCTAAGGTTTGAGAAATCCAGATGCTTAATTTGAGATTTAAGAGTTGATGTGCACACTTGTCTTACAGACGGCCTAATCCCTGGCATAGTCTCATCTCTGGTGCACATAAAACTCCCTGGTACATCTCTGGTGGGTGTGAATATTCCTTGTATGTCTTCATTCACATTTACATACATTCAGAAACACTCAGCTTCAGCACTAATACTCTGTTGTAATTCAGACTCAAGCAGAGAGCAGACTTAAGGAGAGACACTGAAGACCCACATAAGGATATGAGCTCTGATTAGATATTGACAGAAATGAGGTAACTGAAAGTATGGGTAGAATTGGCAGTTCTTATACTTTGCAGAATAGTCTTCTGGGTAGAGCACATGCACAAAGGGTGACCTTGTTCTGCTCTGGGACTTCAACCCACATCTCCAGAGAGTGCTCTGATCACAAAGATGAAAGTCATATAGTGGAACAAGGGAAAATAAAGAGATACAACATGTAATTTATCTTGACAATTGGATTCCCTATTCAGTCAAGAATACGAAATAATCCGAACAAAGTTTCTGAACAGAAATAAGTTTAGTTCAGGAGCCTAGAGCTCGATATTTGCACATTAACCTAATAATGGTGAGGGGGTTTTGGTGTTGTTTTATATCTAATATAAAATTCATAACAGCATAAATACTTTGAGTTTGAAATCCTCTATATTCAGGATGGGTGAAAAACAAAGTTTTCCTTTCTAGGGACCTCTGCCCTAACCATTGGGTTATTATGAAGACATTTCTTCACAAACTCTCAGCTCAACATGCTTAGCTTCCATAAAATCTCTTTTGTAAGATCTTACACTTGTTAGAACAATTAGAATAGAGGTTACAGGACAGAAAGCCTGGATCCCCTGTGGGACTTTGTGCTCGTGCTCCACCGTATCCACAATCTGAGCAGAACACCACCACTGATATTCCTCATGGGCATTTTCTGTGTGTGAAAAACACAGCACAAAGCAGTCACTAAAACACACCCACAACTTCAAGATTTCAACCCTAGCCAAGGCAACTCAGGCTCTTCACACTATCGCTACTACTGTTTTCCAAAGCTGACTTATTTCTTGCAGGTAACAGCACCAAAGAGGCCTCAGCTATACACTTAGCTGCCAGTAGTGCTGTCTTGTTATTTACTGGTGTTCTATGAATAACCTCTTGCTTAGGATTTTGATTTTTGAGAGGCTCAAAGCAGGGACCATTTTTATGTTCTCAACTTCTTGAGGGCCTAGCAGAAAGTCCTTCTGTGGGGCTTCTAGGTGCCACACCAATGCTCTTATATAGTCACTGCGTTGTAGGAAGTAGGATGCACTCTGTTGACCATGAATATTCTTGTCTAAGTGCATCCAGCTCTAACATGAATTCCACCACCTTCACAGAGCTGTGGTTTCTAACCCATAAGTAAATACTTGCTGCACTTTTGCTGCAGCTTCACTGAAAATGGTATCTAAGTTGGCAACTTTTAACTTTTCTCAGTGAGGATATCAAGAGCTCTATGTGTCTAAGAAAAGAATAATAACAAAATCAAGATCTGAGAAAAGCATTTTATCCTCAATCATTAGTATGCTACAGAGGACTTCAGCTAAGAGAAACAGGAGTTTTCACATGAACTTTGCAGCTATAATGGTAGGTAGCAAAGCTCAGAATGATATAGCAGGGAAAATTTATGTAACTGGGAGGGAAAAAACACATCAGAATACCTTCAGTGAGCATGAGCTGAGTGGCTTGTGAATAAAATGGTAATTATACCAAACATTTTTTTTAAGGCATACATCATTATCCTCTGGGTAAATTATTCAGTGGTTCATAGTCTGAAGAAATTTTTGTAATTTATCACTTATGAAACAATTCTTGAAAATCATTGTCTTGCTTTTATATTCTGTGGGAAGCCTTCTCTACAAGAAACAACCCTTTTGAGGACACACGGCAACTCATACCTAATTTTGTTAGCAGAACATAAAATGCAGAGCAACAATCTCACTGGAGGATTTGTGAGCTCTGCTAACTCCTGATGCCGTTCGTCCAAGTCACAAAAGTCATTTTAATCTGTCTGGAGCAGGCAGTGTGAGAACCTGCAGTAACTGAGAATGAGAAGGAACACCAGTTTTACCATAAACTGGTCAGCATTTCTTAATTGCTTTGGTTGTCTCAACATTAAAATTTGCTGATTTACTCCATAAACATGGTAATTTTTTTCCCAATGAATTTTAGGTACACATTCTGTCTTTGTTTTTACCATTGTCATGCTGTCATTGGGGAAACAAAACCATCATAGAATAGACTGCATCAGATTGTTGTGCTCCTTGGGAGATGATGAAAGCATATCTACTTAATCAGCAACCTTCTTGGATTATTTCTACAATATTCAAGATATTTTTAGGTGCAAATATGAAACATTTTTAATTATTTGGGATTGTTAAATTTTGTCCCTACAAAAAACAGCGAGTTTGAAACTATTGATGTTTGCTCAAAAAGTGACAATATCTGGTTTCTCAGGGAAAAAAAAGTGATCAGGTAATAAAGCATGTTGATTCAAGCAAGGTCAAGCACAAGCGCCATATAATTTTTGGCACATAACTAATTTAGGGATATAACTGCCTTATACTCATTAAAATGAATGGAGAGAGAGAGGAAATCGATGGAGAAATATAGGACATTTCAGAGGTCATTTAGATTTCAGCTGGGTAGCATCAATCTCTTTTTCTATAGAGGAAGCCTAAGCTGGCTATATTTCTATCTTACACATTTCAATCAGGTGCTCAAAAGGCTAATGAGAAGGATGTGGGAATAGCCTCTACTGAAATAAAAGGAAAAACTCTTGTAGACTTCAGCAATAGTCAGGGTTAGGCCTTAGCTCAAACCTCCTGCCTTGAGCAAAACCAGATGGCAGCATTGACCTTCTCATTGCTCCAGAGAGCAATGTTGCTGATGTTCAACAAGACAGTTATGTAGAGCTGTTGATAAGCACATGAAGTGTTCAGCTACCTTTTTTTTTTTCTTTTTCTAGCATTAATTTGTTTGGGGAGGTTATTTGTTTGTTTACTTTTGTTAGTTATGCCTTGCATGACTTGGTGAGGTACATATAATGTGCACACTTACGGGAGCAATCACTTACACCATGAATACTCATACTTCTTTGCATTCCTGCCTGGGACATTTGGACTTTCAATTTCCTAATGGATGCACTTCTTAGCAGCTCTTGTGCTTTGTGCTTTGTGTTAGAAATGGTTCTTCCTTTTGGTTTTGGTTTATTCCCCTTCCTGGAAATATCAAATTGCTGGAAATTTCATATTCGACCCCTTTTGAACAGCATATACCTTTTTCCATTTTGGAGATGACACATTCACTTATAATTTTATTAGTGCAGTCAAATTAATACAAATGTTAATAAAGATAAAAGTCATGTCAGGTTTGAAATCCAATCATAGCAATACACAGTACTTTATTGGCTCAGCAGCACAGGTAACCACGAGAAATTAGAGCTATTATCTTACTTACCAGATAACATGAGAAAATAGAGTGTATGCATTATGTATACATTGTTAGCCAAAAAAATAGAGATGCATGGGTAAAGAATATAAATTAGAAGATGTCTATACCTGCTCCCTCTTCTGGTCTGGAAATTCTCTGTGGAGATTATACTTACGGCTCTACGGCTATGGAGATAGTTTCTCACCAACCTGATAAGCTGCTGTCATGTATGGCTCCTCCTGAGAGTATCTGTGAAGACTGGCAGAGAATATTAATGTTTTCAGGTATTTGAAACTGGCTTTCTCTGCCAATATCTGCCTGGTACACAGTATATGCATAAGAAACTATCTGCATCCTCTCTGATTAAGACTTTACTAATAAATTAAATAGCATCTGAGGTTTTGCCTTAGCACCATAATGTGGTGGTGAAATACATTATTTTTAATGCACTGCTAAGCAGCTAGAATGGTCTCCTTGAAAAAGCAGCATTCTTCCATACAAATCCTGGTCACAGCTCTGAAGTTAGCCTGCTCAGGAGCCATTCCCAACAAGCAGTTTGAGAGTGGTGAGTTGGTTTTGAAAGCTGAGAGAGTCCAGCAGCACAGATGTGAGCTTTTCTAAGACAGTTGCTCTCAAGTGCCTGGAAAACTTCCCAAAGGTATTTACTAGTCTTATACATAGGCTCAATGTCTAACACAGCTTGGAAAAAAAACGTGGCAGGTTTTGAAGCCAGATTATTACCTACAGAGGTCAAATATCCCAGAAGCCAGTCTCTAGCTTGAAATCTTCAAAGAGTAAGCTCTTCTGTATTACCAAAAGCCCTAGATCAGTAAGGCATTATCATTACAATGTTGTTTCACCCATAGGGAAATATGATTGAAGAAATCTTTCTCCATGTGTCGTAGTCCTTCATAATGACGCATATAAATATAGCATTAAAGAAACTGAGGTTTTATTACAGTCATCTGATATTATCTGCAAAATTTACCTCTATAAGAATTGCAGGTTCACAGAGGTAGACCCCCTTGTTCAAAATGCATCTGCTCTGAAAACTGAGACCTTCTTCCTCTGTTTTCTCACCTGCATGATACTGTTGAGTCAAGGATCACCAGGCAACTCCCTGCCTTTACGAGCTGAAATCCCGTGAGACCTGTCAGAGGGAGATGTCAGCCGTAAAGCAGACACCTCTGTTCTCTAGTTGGGTGATCAAAGGGCATGAGAAAACATTGTCCTCCAAAACACATAGACTACTAAGTTCTGAAGGAAATATTTAGCCTTACTCTTTGCCACAGGTCTGCACTCAGGGTTAGGTCAGTAACTCTCCCCACAAAAATATAGGTTTTCTTTTTTGGTAATAGATGTAGACTAAAGAAGCAGTTTTCATTATTTCTTCCTCAGGCCCCCAGTATTCATCTCTGTTAGGAAGAAATTGTATAGAATTCTCTTACTGACCTTCTTTGCCTCTTTTAATACTCCTCTGCATCTGTCTCCATGACTTGCTGAAACCTGGTCCTACATTCAGAGCATGAATGTCTGCAGGCAGCTGCATGTGCTCTTATCCCTCTGAGCATCCCTAGCCATGCAACCACAGCTGAGCACTGGCTGGCAATGCCCAGTGGCTTCTTATCTGTGTTTCCCATGTGCCAGAGATGGTTAAAACACACAACAATGGCAAGAAGCCTATTAGATGCAAATGTGACACACATGGCATGATTAAAATAGGCAGATTATTAACATGAGGCTGTTCTGCAGAAACAAGGGATGGCCACATGTGCTGTGGTGTTAAGCTTTATAGAGGTGGTTTAGTGTGTGTCCAGTTTAGCTTCTCTATAAAGAGAAGTGGAAGCTAAATAGCAAAAAACCAAACAAAAGAAACCCACAAAGACTAATTGCAAACTTAAACCATGTGCTGTACAATGTATATAGTTGTCTTTAACCTTTAAAAAGGAGATTGCATGGGTGCTAATTGGCCCACTGTCTCTAAGAGTCGTAACCTGTGGTTATTGTGGGTTATAGTCTCAAAGCTCAGTTATTCCACTGCATGCACATCAGCTTAAAGAGGTTTGGTAGCTGCTCAGACCCATACTAGGGCAATAAAATCAGTGCTCCTTCCCCAGTGTTCTCAGGTTCTGCTTTCTTTGCTTAGGGGAGAAATAGGCTTTTACAAAGGCAGTCTTCCTTTCCACCAGTGCTATAGGGATCAGCACCAAGAAAGACCTCTTTCTTTTTTTGTCTGCTCCCCTTGTACTACAAAAGGGCAATTCCTTAACTCACACATAAATTATCTTCCCTGTGTAGATGTAGGTTTTGTCTGTATTATTATTTTTCCAGAGACCAGACTATTCATGCATTGTATTGGCAAAATATTCCTGATATGGATGCAGGTAAAAAACACTGACTAAAGAAACCTGTGCCAGTCACAGAAAGATTTGGCCTGTCTTTACCTAAGGAACTTATGCCAGCTTATATTTGCCAGTCAGGTGTAAGCCTATTGCCACTCTTACTACTGAAGCTCTGCCAACAGAAGTCAATATAAAGATGTCTTTTTGGAAGTAAAACCATTCCTTGATTGACAGGATGGAATATAAGGTATTTACATGCCCAGGCGACTACATGACCATTCAAAGTGCAGCTGTAAATAAAGTAGATCTACCTGTGGGGCAGACCTCAGGCTGTGACTATCTATATTTTGGCAAAAAAAATTAGATATGAAAAGGTGTGAACATAAATCCAGGACTCCTGCTGCCTCACAGCTATCCCTAAGCACAATTACATGCTCATGGAAGGTTATAGCATCTGTTTTTGAAAGCAGTTGTGTGGCACAGTAGTGTGATACAACAGAGGAGAGGTTCCTCTGCTCAATGCCCAAATGGAGATGAGTGATGTTCCTCAGGGTTTGCTATCGGACCAATGCTGTTTAAAGTCTTTGTTGGTGACATGGACAGTGGGATTGACAGACTGGAGGGAAGGAATGCCTTCCATAGGGACCTTGCAAGCCTTGAGTGTGTTCATGAAGTTCAGGAAGGCCAAGTACAAGGTTCTGCATGTGAGTGGGGCAATCCCAAGCACAAATACAGGCTGGGCAGTGAGTGGACTGAGACCAGCCCTGAGGAGCTTGAACCTCAGATGCAAGTGAGAGATGCTTGTCTG